TTTATTTTATTCATGTATTTGATGAAACATTCATTTAATCTCTTTTTATTGCACCTCAAGCTGACAGGTGGCAAAGACACACTACAATCATTATGAATAGGGTCCTTTTCCTAGCTGGAGGTAACACATTTCACTATAATGTAATATTAGATTTTTTTAAGTTGACATTGTAGGGCTTTAGCAATGTGGGAAGGCATGCAATGTTTAATCAATATTTCTGTTTTGCCTATAAACTTCCTTGTCTGCTAATGGCTATAAAAACATATCAGTCATGAAGATTTCCAGAATTAATTCCTCATTAGACCAGAATATAGCCAAAACAGGTGTTATTTCATAGCCACACCATTTCGTCCAACAAAAGCTACAGAACAGGTGCTTGGATCTGTCTAATCCACACAGCTCTCCTTCCACCTGCTGTGATAATTAATGAGGTAGTTCCGTACACAGTGAAGAGTCAGAGTTGGTAGCAGATGCAATGGGGTCATTGTGGATAAGGCTAATGCTTATACTTCCCATTGTGCTGTTTGGATTTTAAGCTGCAGTTCAGTGCATAAGGTAAACGCAGATAATGGGTTTTGGAAGTTTGGAAGCATGTGGTAAAAGGTGTTAATTAGTAAAGCTTCTCCACTCTATGATTGTCAACGCACATGTTACAATAAGGGATTTACCGTTTAGTTTGCAACAAACACAGCGCTGCATGTTTTTATGACTATGATACGATGATTTAGTTTTAGTGATATTTTCTTTTTTTGTGTGTGTGCACGTTTTTTTAGTGATATTTTCTTTGTATTCAGTAGATTTCCAGACAACTTAAAACATTTACCAGTGTGTGGTGCTGCTTCTCGTACTTCAATTAAGTTGGGAATACGCAACAGAACTAAGGTTGTTCTCATACTGTCATTCACTGCTGCAGGAGTTCAGAAGTTCTGAGTTTAAATGAAAGGTTTTTTAAACTCTTTGTTGAAAATGTGGTGCAGGTTGATGAGGCCACGGATCAGTTCAAAGGCAAAAGGGATAAAACAGCTGGTTGGTCGAGGGAAGAGGCAATTAAAGTGTCTTTATTTATCTGCGTTACAACAAAGTGTAGTTGAGTGGCTTTGAGCAAGGGTACTTACCCCCCTGTGTATGTCCCTGCCTGTGCTGATGACAATATTTATAGCAAATTATACTTAAAAAATGAACCAGTCCAAAGATACAACCCGACAACCTGATGGGACCTGTACGGTTATGTCAGCTATAGAAAACACCTCTGGTTCACAATTAATTTCAAATTGCTAAAAAAAATACTTCAACATAAATGAAACTCCATGGACCTTGTCAGTTTGAAAAATAATCAATCCATTTAAAAACCTAGATTGAACGTGTAACTGTAGGCAACTCAAAAGGTTTAATTTAGCTTCAATTACAAAAAAAATGGTGTAAAAAGAGGGCAGGCTGTACTTTCATTTCAAAGGTAATGTATTTTCATAGAAAAGCAGCATGATACAAAACCCAACTCTGGTCTGGATATTGTGTTTATTGCAAATTTAGGCTGGAGGCATCACATCTTATGATGGCGTTTAGTTTAAAACATTCTCCTTAGGAAAAAARAGTATAGCATTGGAAAATACAAAGCTTAAAGTAACAATTCCTTGATCTTCAGAAAATTGAATTCAAATGACCAAATGTCCACAAATAAGCTGTGGATTGAGGTGTCCTTTTTTTTTCTTCAACATCTCAGAAAATAACATTGTTTCTGAAAAAGCATTACTGCAAGCAAAGACTATACAACCTTGTTTTGGCGCCAATATCTTCTGGCTATGTACTGGAGTAGAGCACRAATTCCCTGTCAGGAGATTAGGCAGCGATGTTAATAAACTTGTGGACTGGTGCTAGAAATCCTGTGATATTCTGGGCAACTAATCCGAGTGGCAGGAACAACAGACAAGACTGTGGTTTTATTAATTAACAATAAAAATAACTGTTCGCTGTTTCTGCAGAAACAGTGAGGCTCAGCCTCTAAAGAAGCTCAGCACCTGAAAGGACACAAAAAAAAAAGGCTTGTTTTTATGAACTAAGCTTATTAAATGCTACCAGCACACCACAGCACAGCTAATAGTGTGAGAATAATGGGTTACTGGTAACTGAAGTGACATTATTATACCTGAGACTTATTAAAACTAAAACTAAGCATTGATGAAGTATTTTTGTTGACAGAAAGCTCCGGAATATTTTCAGTTTTCCACATTGTTGCTGTTTTCATTTGTTGCAAAACATAAATGTTTCAAATGTTTGAAAATCCACTCAGTACTTGTGAGTGGACAATCTGAGCAGAGGTCTATAAAGTACTTGGAAAAAAAATAACAAAGTAAAAGTAAAAATACCATAACAGGAAATGACTTTGTTAACAAGTTTCACTAATAGTACTTAAATCAAATTCATGAAACTTTTCATAAAAAAGTACAAATATTTTTACACACTCTCTAAGAAATAAACTGTTAAATTTAAACCAAACTGGTTCCACTAAATCAAGTTTAGTAAATTGAGGCAATATAAATATTTTCTATCAAAGAATATATGTATATTGCCTCATATTTCTTCATATTTTAAATAAAATTTTAAAGTAAAGAAGTAATAGTATCCTTTTTACGTTTAAAGGCAACAAAATAAAAGTAAAAGTAACAATTTCAAAACACTTGGTAAAATTACAAATCCTCAAAAAATTACTTAGGTACTGCAACGTTGTAAATGTACTTCGTTACTATAAATCTCTGCTGCGTAGACCTTTCTTTCAAACATTTGCTCTTGTTGTTGTTTTTTTTTATTTTTTACTACATTTAAATACAGGTTCTGGGTCACTTCAGACGTCTCATAGGTTTAACCAAAGCTACTCATGTTGTCTTAGTGGGACATGTCTGGCTCTTTTCTTGTTTAAATCCAAATCATCTGAGATTTTTTTTATTTTTTCAAAATATTCTTACTTTTTTTGTTTGTCTTTTTTCCAACTCGTACCACATGAAAGCAATAATAGATCCTCTTGAAAGGACAGCAGAAATCCACACTTGACTAAGAGAATATTATTGACAAAAGAGTGTTTGGTGTCTGATTTACTTCACACATGCTGATTGGAACTGTGGCAAAATAGTTTAATCTTTCTTTCATCAGATGAAAGGATTTTGTTTCTCATAATCTGATTGATCCAGATTCGCAGTAAGCTGTTTTTTTAGGAAGGAATTGTCTCTGTTTTGTTACTCTCATATAAAGGACTCACTGGTAGAATGTCACACTGCATTTAGTCTTTTTCAACCACTGTTCTTTTTCAGTTTCTTATTTGGCCAAACCACTCCATCTTTAGTTATTCAGTTCAGCTTGGAAGTTAAAACAGTCCTTCACAATAAGAGGTGTTTAAAATTCTTCTTTTAGCTCTGCTCCTTGATGTGATCCTGTCTCACAGACCTGTAGACAATTATCTGGACTTCATGGCTTTGTTTACACTGATATACACTGCTAGCCATGAGAGCTTCTCATAAGCAGATGTGTGCTCCCTTAATTATGTCCAGTGGATTTAATTAGGTAAAGAGAAGCCATTGTCAAGTTGTAGAACCATCAAACAGCCCTCTGCTTTAATGCAGGATGCAACAGAGCTCAAATGCATCTTTCATAGCAATAAGGAAAAAAAATAACAAAGTAAAAGGGATATTTTTGGTTTTTATTTAGTTATTTGTTGTTTCAAAAGTTTAATTTTGTGTTTATTTCATATTAGTATCATCTGTAAGGAGCAGTGGTGGGCAGCGCTAATCCAAAAATTAGCTCGGCAATTTCTAAAGCACTTATGATAATATTTACGTCCACAACTTCAAAAACACTTATGCCATAGAAAAACTAGCAGAAGCTAATTTTAAAGCGCAAGTTCAATTTGACACTTACTATCTGGCAACAATTCGTGTACAACATATGCACAACACTGCCAACTAGCAGTGTGTAGTCCTTTTACAGCTTAATCCTTCACCTGCCGATTGCTGGGGATGTGATTTCCTGAAACAGACCTTTAGCTCCTGGTGTAAGAATTAAAAAGTTGTTGAGGATTGCTAGTTAGCCTGCTTCTTTGTCTTTTTCTCTTGTTTTTTGTAGATTTTTCATTAAAGAAGCATCAATAAAGTAATTTTAAAACTGTTTATTGGAAAACTGAAGCGATGCATCCTGGGCACATGATGGATTTGATTTGTGACGGGAAACGAAAGCATGGAGTAMAGGAAACTACCTGCAAACTTCAAAATAAGAGCTTGGATTTTAAAGTTTTTTTATGTAGTTGCTCCAGTTGACTAATAGATGTCAGTCTAACCCCGTTGGCAGATTCCTTCTACCAGTTACGTCAAGTATTGAGCTCCAGCAATTAAACTTTTTTTTTTAAAAAAGAGCTCCGATTGTAAAGTAAAATAAATCAATACATGTAAAATTTTAGTATGGATTACAAATGTTTACTGTTTTTGCTGGGAAAGGGAGTTCTAAACATTGCCTTCCTGCTACGTAAGCAGACACAAAGTATTGTGGGAAATCAGAACCGTGACCAAAAGCAACAGTCAGCAAAGATGTATACCTTTCAAATATGTGTGTTTATCTGGGAGGGGTGCTGTTGGATGGATCACGTGTGTTGTGATTCGACAGCCATACCTTCTGCTGTTCAAGTTAATGATGACTGGTAGATAATTAGCGGGACTGCATTTTAATTTTAGAAAGTGCAAATCCGCTTATGAATTATAAAAATTAGTAAGACCGCTAAAGTGCAAATGAAATATTTAGGTCCACAATTAGCGGATTTGCGCTTTTAGCTGATTGGTGCCCACCACTGGTAAGGAGGTATGATTAGCTAAAAATTGTGAACATTTTTGAGTTTTACCATTTTTACTGCTTTGCCTGTCATGACAATGTGTTTCATAGTTTTAGAAAAAAGATAATCTGTTTTTTTTTCTTCTTTCCTGCTGCTGTCTTCTCAATCTTCCTCATTTCAATACTCTCATCAGGTGTACTTCAAACGTGATGGCGAGCTAATAGAGGTAATTTCCTACACTGAACCCTCCACCATCGAGAGAGGAGGAAGCTCAGCGGGAGTAAGAGGCGCCCGGCCGCTCATCAGCAGGGACCTTGACGACACCAAACTGCATCGGTCCCTGTCCCTTCTCGACCCCGAAGGCCGGTCGGCTCGCCTGTACACAGAGAGCCCTCAGCGCTTTCACACTCAGGGCCAACAGGCCTATGAGCCGAGTCCTGCGACAGAGGTCATCCCAGAGACAGTGGTGAGCAGGGAGTTCCCCCGCTGGGTACACACCACGGACCCTTTGTACTACTTTAGCCACACTCACATCCCCCAGAGCGACGGCTCTGTGGTGGTGCAGGCCAGACTCACCTGGACCCTCAACCCTCAGCTGGATAATGACGCCCTATTCAGCTGTGAAGTTAAGCACTCAGCGCTGTCTATGCCTATGCAGACAGAGGTCACTTTAGGTAAGCTGAATTTTTTTTTAATGTTTTTGAAAATATTAAAACGTCTAGTACCTTTTACTGATCTCTTCGATGTTTCCTCTCAGCTCACCTCAAACTCGTCTGTGCTGGTTTCCCGTTTCTTTTGTTTTCAATCTCCCGATTTCTCCATGTCACACGTAGAAGCTGGGTTGTTCTTCCTATGTCCTCCTAACAAATGAACGCAGAATGCTGCTTAATTGTGTCACAGTTGAGCGGAATGTGAGTTTAGTGGCAAATGCATAACTCCAAGTGACTGACAGACCAATTCATCAAGCTGTCTGTTGTGAGACTGAGTTAACCCAGGAACGTTATTGAAAAAGTCAGCCTGAATTAGAAAAGTCATCTGAGAGTTTAGACACACTGACCGATGTTGTATAATTTGAAAGACTGTTTTAGCGATGCTGCCATTCATTGAACGTCAATGAGTGCCTCCTTTAAAGGGGCGGTATCATGGAAAATCAACTTTGAGTTTTATATCATGTTATAATGTTATACTCTCATAAAAACATGCCCAAAGCCTTGCTTTGACTCATTCATGCATGTTTGAGAAATCCTGCAGAGTTTTTAGGAAGCCTTGCTGAGGAGCAAAACGACAGGTGGGGACCAGAAACGCCTTTTGGGACCAGAAACGCCCCTGGGTTGTGTCCTTTTGGGACAAGCTCCTCCTCTGGGATGTGTCTTTAAGCCAAACTTCCTCATGGCAGAGCGCCACCCCCCCCACCCCACCCGCTCCACAACTCTGGCAGGCTAAGTGCTGAAATGGGCGTGATCGAAGTGGCTGGATTTTCTTAAAGAGACAGAGACCTATTTCAAAACGTTTAGAAACTGTCGATATGAGAAGTAAATTGTTTTGGGGATTTTTACAAATATATAGCTCTTTCATAAGCTGAAAATGTGACATAGGTACTTTATTTTAGTATAACATTTAAATACAGGCTTGGAAAGCACATAATATCGCCCCTTTAAGCTTCTGAGTTTTTCAATTGGCCACAATTTCATTGTTTTCTTTTAAGTAAAAAAGTACCAAAGAGCAGGTATCTTACTGTAAGGGAAAGGTTAAGGTTGAGTTTCATTAGTTACTCCATGTGTGTGTTTGTGTGTGTGTGGGGGGGGGGGGGGGGATTGTGGGAAATAAAAAATCTGACCGCAGGTGATTTGTGAACCACAATTT